GTTGCTCGTTGTGTTCTCTGAACGGCTTTAGGTAAAAGAAGGCTGAGTCGAAAGCTTGGAAGTTCCGCTTTTCTCGGGAATCTCTAGTGAAGTATCAGCCAACAAACTTCAATAATCCTTGGTCACGAAATTCAGTTAGTGATTCGATCGCAAATCACGCTATTTATGTCTCTATCAAACCTAAAAGCGTCGCACCGTGTTCTGAACAGTCATATCTTTTGCATAGATAGAGGAACCGAAGTTTCCTTTGCTGTAGCTTTAGCAGTTTTCAGTGAAAATGGGCCGTTTGTTTTGAAGCACTTTCAGAAACTCGATCGCGTGACCCATGGCCCATGATGTCATGTGGAAACTGTCACGCGACCAATGTCTCTTGTAAAATTCACACTTCGGCCTAAATAGAGGAGCTTGTTGTTATAATTGTAGTTTTGCCAAATACCCTCCAGGAAACCGAAATGTCAAACATTTCGATTTCCAAATTTTCTCTTTCAGGTAACAAAATACAAAAGCGCATTACATTCTTACAATTTTGTCGGTAACAATAATAATAGTAAATCAATAATAAAAAACAGGCCTGTTCTAAAATTATAAATGTAGATAGACATTCATTATTTTGTTGTCGATCAGAATTGCGAGGCTTACAATTTCCGTGCGCCTCGAAAAACGGAGCGTTTGTTTATTTATTTTCTTATGAGGGGTATAAGCCTTAAAGTCCTTAAAGTCAACTGAGTTTCGCCTTCTTCTGCAGGCAAAAATTATGAAATTAGGCCAGCACCGACCAGTCAAAGCCATTTTAGTTTGCATGTCATATTACCTTTTAAGGCATTTGGTTTTCTGACATTTAATTTTTTTTTATTATGTACAAATAAACTTCTGGTTTCAGGGCGGAAAAACGTAATGAGCATGCGTGAACTTTTTTGCCCAGATCCCCTGGCCGGGTTTGAAAAAATGGCGGGATTTCAAATATTTTATTGCCTTAAAATAAAATGTTTCCACTCATAACCTGGAGAGGACAGGCAATTTGTCTTCAAAAGTTGCAAGCTGTGGTTATAACCTTGTCGTTACTTAATTTTCTTGAAGAATACCTCATAGTAAAACGGAATTTAACAACATTAATTTCCTTGCGTTGTACTGGAAATCTGCATGCGTAGGTCCGATTTTTTTCAAGATGAATTCACAAAATGTGTTCATATAAGGAAGTTCCTGGATATATAAGGTCCAGAGCTCCACTGTGGATACAAAAACAACATATCTTTGGACAGTGATTTGCCCAAAAAAATGAATGCTTGCCCACAATGTGTTTTAAGTCACTGAACTTTGTCGCACTCGAGCTGATATTTTAAAACCCTCGCTCGATCGGACACTCTTAGTTTCGTTTGCGTTGATATGTGGGCAGAAAAAAGGTCAGTCTTCATCTAGTAAAATCTTCCCGAAAATCGGTTTCAAAGCAATGATAGTTTTTTTAAACTAGCTCGTTTCGCGCAGATATATAAATTTTGCTTTGTGTTGTCAAGTTGAACACGCATAACATCTGTCAAAAACCTACGAGTAAGTAGGATTTCCTCCAAACAAAGTTAAAGTCACATTATTTCAAAAACTTCTTGCTGACAATGAAGAAACTAATTTTCTGTGCGAAAACAACCTACCTAAAGATCTTAAAAGCAAAAGATCAGTTGCAACTTAGCAGCCAAGCCATGATTCAGCATTTAGCTATTTTCTGTAAGCTTAACTGGTCCATGCGAGGGTCTTCGTTTAAGCAAATTAAACTCAGTCGATCTTTAGAAAATACAGAAAACTGCACATAAGGGTGTGTTTTACTCGCCTCAGTCAAATCCAGCTGCAGCAATTGTTTACGGGAAAACAGTCAATTGTTTTGAAGTCACTGCCGGCAGTTGTCGTTCTCTACAGCGAGCGAAAAGGACAATTTGCGTACAGAAAGTTATTCTTATAAAAACAGAAACTTTCACAGTGCACTGGAGAACAAACTATGTAATGAAAAATGAAAAAAACTCTGACTATTATTACTTAAGCAATAGAAAAATGATCTTGACTAAGCTTGCTGGCCTTCTTTTTCCGAGAAAATTTAATAAGCGCACAAGTTTGTTCACTCTGATGCGTTATATTAAACAGCAATATGGTTCTTGAGCCTGCGATAAGGGATGCGCAGAAGCTTGCGCAGAACGTTTTCCCGGCCTGAAACTTCTGGTCGTTCTTAGAGCTGTTGCACATCTTGCACAACTTCATACATGGGTTTTTGAAAAACATGTCAGGTAATCTTATAGAAAATTCAACACTGCCTAGAATTAATCTAACGGCTAATTAAATCCCTTAAAGTTTACTCTCTTGAAATTTCATAAAGTTTTAATGCTTGCAAAAAATACCTCCAAGAAGCAATATATTTCACTCAATTTAGTCACTTAATATGAAGTTCTGATGCTTGCAGAAAATCAGTTCTCCATCTTCTCTCGACAATTGCAGTTTTGAGAAGTTTGGATGCTCGCAAATGCTGAACAAGTCTCTTCCATCACAGCCTACAGTAGTACCCCATCTTTACTTTGGGAATAATGATTAACAGGGATGTGAAACATGCGCAATGAATTTGCAATAAAAGGCTCGCGTATATAAAAAAAATCTACTCTCTTTCAGGTCGGCTTTTCCCTTTTTGCAAAATGTAATAAAATCTCACACTGGAACTTTTTCTCCTTTTGTTTGTAAAACAGTGTCAAAGAGTGAGAACTGCCCCTGGCACCAAATTCAGGGGTGTCAGTAAAACGTGGGGTCGGAACCGGGATCGGAGTGTAGGGGTAGGGTCAAGGGTTAGGGTTAGTGTCAACCTAACCCTAACACTAACACTTTTTAAAAAAAGATAGACTGCGATCCCGCGTTTTACTGACACCCATTTGCAAGTATTTTATCCCCTTAAGTTAAGGTTCACTGCGAATTAAAGCACGTTACTGGTGATTTTAACAAAATGAACACGACAGCCGTGACACAACCCCTTTAAGCTGTCAACAAAGGAACAGTTTCGCTTGCACCTTTCTTCTGATCTCTTAGCTTTCTCCTGTAAGATGGATAAGTCCATGCGATGGTTACACCTGTCTCCCTACGGCCAAAAATTAATTTGAGCACCAGAAACAATAGTCTCCCTCGCAGCCGTTTTTAGTATCGTCACGCAACGATCCTCCCCAGCGAGCGTTGCGTGACGATACTAAAAACGGCTGCGAGGGAGACTACAGAAACAAAAGAAGTGTTATGAATACTGCAGTATGGAAAGCAATATATATTACTGTATAATGGGTAAAGGTGGTGAAGTAGATGAAGAGGCTGACGACTGGTATAATGGTTAGCTTGAGTGCCAGATAGCAATGACTGTTTCTTGAAATGGATGGGTTTGCTCTGGGTTCCAGGTAGGAGGATCCTTTCCACAGTGCGACAATAAATACAACTGCTTGTGCTAAACTCGCAGCAAATATGACCACTGAACCAATCTGCACAGCCAGCCAGTTGTATCGGCGTTGAGCTTTTTGGGGCGTTCAACATACTTGTTGAATACGGCAACAAAGAAGGGGAAGTAGCCAATGAAGGCCAAGGAAATATTGTTGGCAACCAACATGACTTGATTCATTTTTTTGATGCAGTGGAACAGAGAACGGTGAACAAAAAACAAGAATGCAATTATGATGAATGTCGTTATGTACACAAGGAAGCTGGGCCATAAATTCCTCACAGTTGTACCAAGTCCATCTTTCTCGATATCCTCTTCCTTGGGGAAATTTTCCGTAGTTATGTCAAGCACTAAGAGGGTGGCAACAATGGAGAATACTCCATCGCTGAAACATTCTACTCTCTCTGTATCAATGTAGTTACCAAACATGAGGTCAAATTCAGGTCTAGGCATGCGGATTGCGTTACACTTTCGAAGAACAATTCCAATAAATCGGTGTATGCATGGCGTGACAATGACTATGGAAATTAACACCCAAGCGGAAATGGCGTTAACGTTGCTCACGAAAGCTGCTATCACGTACAACAGTGTGTTGAGAATTTTCTTCGCTAGCATGTAGTCTCTACGTTCCTTCATTTTTCTCTCCGGTAGCTCTTGGAGCTCATCGGTGAGCAAATCAACGTGGCGAAAAGAATACAAGATCATGAAAACTTCAAGAACTTCTATGATTGCCATGTCGCTACATATCAGCAAAACTGGGAAGAATTTCTCCGGGTATTTTCCCTCCAATGAGCAAGCGAGGGGCAAAAACGATGTGAACATCAAAGACGCGAGATTTAACCAAATCAAGACATCGTCTATATGGGAAAGAATCATAAATCGATGTACGTGCGATTCCCATACGGCGCAAATGACAAGAAACGCAAAGAAGTAGGCAATCAGCCGAATCCATCCACCTTCAAGCTCCGCTTTCAGATCAATATCTGAAGTAACTATCAGTTTCCGTATTGGAAGAATCAGAATTGTCGACACTATGGCAAAGACAGCATCGTTGAAAAATTTTAAACGGTTTAGATGAACCAAATCTCGGTCTTCCACCATTCTTGTCAAAAAAATTAAAAACCATTTGACAAGAAGGAGAGAGTTAATGTTTATTTGCTATCGCACATTCTAATTATTTATGCCTGGAGCGGATGAGCCCCTTTACGATTGTCGCGTGACCGTAGACGAGCCCCGCGGGGGGGGGAACTCCCATATAAAAGTGACAGGAATGCTCGTCGTCTCGCTTAGGGGTGTAAATTATAGGTTGTCTTTACACTAGGCTGTTAAGTAAGACTTAAGAGCCGCTAAGTTTTACTTAACCAAAAATTCGTGTGTGAAGGCCTAAGTAAAACCTCAAGTAACTTTGCTTTGCATCTCATTAAAGTTGGAAAGTTGGAAAGTTGGAAAGTTGGAAAGTTGGAAAGTTGGAACGATTCAAGAAAGTTTCAAGCGACTTGAAAACCATCCTTATGACCGACGTAGCTGACTTGCGGTTTTGCGGTTTCTTGAGCTTTGA